GATGCTATCACAGGAGCACGGGTGGGAGGTTATCACAGGACACGGGTGGGATGCTATCACAGGACACGGGTGGGATGCTATCACAGGACACGGGTGGGATGCTATCACAGGACACGGGTGGGATGCTATCACAGGACACGGGTGGGAGGCTATCACAGGACACGGGTGGGATGCTATCACAGGACACGGGTGGGATGCTATCACAGGACACGGGTGGGATGCTATCACAGGACACGGGTGGGATGCTATCACAGGACACGGGTGGGATGCTATCACAGGACACGGGTGGGATGCTATCACAGGACACGGGTGGGATGCTATCACAGGACACGGGTGGGATGCTATCACAGGACACGGGTGGGATGCTATCACAGGACACGGGTGGGATGCTATCACAGGACACGGGTGGGATGCTATCACAGGACACGGGTGGGATGCTATCACAGGACACGGGTGGGATGCTATCACAGGACACGGGTGGGATGCTATCACAGGACACGGGTGGGATGCTATCACAGGACACGGGTGGGATGCTATCACAGGAGCACGGGTGGGAGGTTATCACAGGACACGGGTGGGAGGTTATCACAGGACACGGGTGGGATGCTATCACAGGACACGGGTGGGATGCTATCACAGGACACGGGTGGGATGCTATCACAGGACACGGGTGGGATGCTATCACAGGACACGGGTGGGATGCTATCACAGGACACGGTGGGATGCTATCACAGGACACGGGTGGGATGCTATCACAGGACACGGGTGGGATGCTATCACAGGAGCACGGGTGGGAGGTTATCACAGGACACGGGTGGGAGGTTATCACAGGACACGGGTGGGATGCTATCACAGGACACGGGTGGGATGCTATCACAGGACACGGGTGGGATGCTATCACAGGACACGGGTGGGATGCTATCACAGGACACGGGTGGGATGCTATCACAGGACACGGGTGGGATGCTATCACAGGGACACGGGTGGGATGCTATCACAGGACACGGGTGGGATGTTATCACAGGACACGGGTGGGATGCTATCACAGGACACGGTGGAGTTATCACAGGACACGGGTGGGATGCTATCACAGGACACGGGTGGGATGCTATCACAGGACACGGGTGGGATGCTATCACAGGACACGGGTGGGATGCTATCACAGGAGCACGGGTGGGATGTTATCACAGGACACGGGTGGGATGCTATCACAGGACACGGGTGGGATGCTATCACAGGACACGGGTGGGATGCTATCACAGGAGCACGGGTGGGATGCTATCACAGGACACGGTGGGATGCTATCACAGGACTGGGATGCTATCACAGGACACGGGTGGGATGCTATCACAGGACACGGGTGGGATGCTATCACAGGACACGGGTGGGATGCTATCACAGGACACGGGTGGGATGCTATCACAGGAGCACGGGTGGGATGCTATCACAGGACACGGGTGGGATGCTATCACAGGACACGGGTGGGATGCTATCACAGGACACGGGTGGGATGCTATCACAGGACACGGGTGGGATGCTATCACAGGGACACGGGTGGGATGCTATCACAGGAGCACGGGTGGGAGGTTATCACAGGACACGGGTGGGATGCTATCACAGGACACGGGTGGGATGCTATCACAGGACACGGGTGGGATGCTATCACAGGACACGGGTGGGATGCTATCACAGGACACGGGTGGGATGCTATCACAGGACACGGGTGGGATGCTATCACAGGGACACGGGTGGGATGCTATCACAGGACACGGGTGGGATGCTATCACAGGACACGGGTGGGATGCTATCACAGGACACGGGTGGGATGCTATCACAGGACACGGGTGGGATGCTATCACAGGACACGGGTGGGATGCTATCACAGGAGCACGGGTGGGATGCTATCACAGGACACGGTGGGTTGCTATCACAGGAGCTCGGGTGGGATGCCATCACAGGACACGGGTGGGTTGCTATCACAGGGACACGGGTGGGATGCTATCACAGGAGCACGGGTCGGATGTTATCACAGGGACACGGGTGGGATGCTATCACAGGGGACCGGGTGGGATGCTATCACAGGACACGGGTGGGATGCTATCACAGGAGCATGGCACCTTACCAATGGCTATACCACGGAAGAAAATGTCTCTCAACTTGGTTTTTCAAAATCAATTCACGGTATCTGCTCAGCATGGCTATTTTTGGAAATGCTAGGGAAACGAAACAATTTTTGAACAGCCAGGTTCTCAGCGTACACACTTAAAGCACTGAAGATGTTGCAGCCATAAACCATGAGCTGAGTTCTGTGCACATAAACCATGAGCTGAGTTCTGTACACACAAACCATGAGCTGAGTTCTGTACACATAAACCATGAGCTGAGTTCTGTACACACAAACCATGAGCTGAGTTCTGTGCACATAAACCATGAGCTGAGTTCCGTGCACATAAGCCATGAGCTGAGTTCCGTGTACATAAACCATGAGCTGAGTTCTGTGTACACAAACCATGAGCTGAGTTCTGTGCACATAAACCATGAGCTGAGTTCTGTACACATAAGCCATGAGCTGAGTTCTGTGCACATAAACCATGAGCTGAGTTCCGTGCACATAAACCATGAGCTGAGTTCTGTGCACAGATACATCCTGTTCTGCTTGCATGATTTAAAAATAATTCTAACATTAAAAATAGGCAGACCATTTATTAAAATCTGGTTTTCTAGACTACTGAAATGCCAGGCATGGAAAACCCCAGCACTCAGGAGGCAGAGGAAGATGGATCTCTATGAGTTTGAGGCCAGCTTGCTCTGCAAAATGAGTTCCAGGACTCACTCAGGACTGTGTAGAGAGGCCTTCTTTCAAAAAAAAAATTCTTTGGGGGGAAAAATCTGTTATAAAAATTTTTTTTCTTTAAAACTTAAACATGAACCATCAAAAGATTTGGCAAGAAATTAAGTATTTTAGATTAGCATTTGAAACAGCTCTGGTAATAGTGTTAAGTACAGAATAAAGAACTGTAAGACCACAAGGAAATGAAAACATTTGGGGAAAAGGAAAACTGATACAAGAACTAATAATAAATCTAGGTAGTGAGAGAGCAGATATTCAAATGTGTCCCAATCAGTCTGCTGTGTCCTAGCCTGAGAACCAGAAGACAAGTTCCAGAGTGAGGCTGGAGAGATGCTCAGTGGCTAAGAGCACTTGCTGCTCCTGCAGAGGACCCGGGAGCCATTCTCTATCTACCTAAACGACAGCTCAAACTGTCTCAACTTTGTTCCAGGGGTTACTGTCTCTGTTGGGACCAGTCACTAGGCATATAGTGTACATCCATACACACTGGAAAAACACATAAATACAGTAAGTAAATACTTATAAACATAAGGGTCATTTAATAAAAAGGAATCATGACTGACTCAAAGGGGGAGCTAACCTGGGTCTGGTGGCCTAAGCCTGTAATCCAGCTGTGCAAGAGACTAAGCAAGTCCAAGACCTGCTTAGGACGCAAAGTCAGTTCAAGGCCTGCCTGTCTGCAAAACTTAGTGAGACCCTGTCTCAAAACAAAAACAAACTTTCAAGGACTGAGGAGACGCTTACTGGTAAAGCTTAGCAAGTACTTGGTCCTGGGATCCACCCCCAGGATGGGAAGAAGAAAAAAAAAAACACAGGAAGGTAAATAAATAAGAATTAAAGCTGGAAATAACTTGAGTAATGACACAGGAAAATGATTTAAACTTAGAATATAGCTGTGGAGAGAGGCGCAGCAGTCAAGAGCACTCTTACAGAAGTTGCAGGTTCATTTCCAGCACCCACATGGCTGCTCAGAACCATCTCTAAGTCCAGTTCCAGGAGATCTGACGTTCTCTTCTGGCTTCCATGGGCACCAGACACACACATGGTTCACAGACAAACAGGCAAGCAAAACACCCATACACATAAAATAAATGCATCTTACTAAAGAACAACAGAATGCAGTCATAATGCCTCATCTCCAATAAGATAAGCACTGAACAGAGCAAATATATGTTACAGGGGTGCAATGGAGAAAATGCAATGGATTGTGACTGTGACTGTATTTCATGAGTCCCTGTCATTTACTAGATACATATACAAAAATCAGAGTCATCCTTGAATGCCAACAAAAACCTTAATTACCAAGACACTCAAGTGAATTTCAAAAGTGTCTACAAGTCTGGCAATTATGCAGTGAGAGCCAGATTCCTAAATGCCTACAAGGAGTCAAGATGGACAAGAATGGCCAATGGGCCAGGCCATCGTGCCAAAATAACTGCTGGATAGCAGCAAATGGAAACAAGCTTACTAACTGTTCCATAGCCCCTATGGCAACTATGTAATGAGCTGTACAGTTTCACTAAAGTTACTTTTGTCTTTTGTTTAGACCTGATGTGTCTGTGTACACTCCCATGCCTAGCCTTCAACTCCTAGCTCTGCAATCCTTTATCTGAGTAACCCAATCAGCTGGGACGAGGTGCATGTGGACACTGACAATGAATATTCAAGAGACACGGAAGGTAAGAACAGAAATGGTGAAAAGGCAGCAACTGCAAACTGGTTCCATTTGTACTACTACGATTCTTTATTTAAATGACAAAGATTTCAATTAATATTAAATGCAAAATAAACTCTTAGGGCCTTCAATGAAGAATGAGAAGTTATCAAAACATTTTTATGATAGAAAAATCTTCAAACCCCAGTAATCACATTAGACTATGAAGCCATACCCATTAAAAACATCAAATGCTAATTACTATTGCTAAATAACTGGCTGTAAATTATAACACTCCCTTTTGCAACATCAGAAAAGGATTGTTACAACTTTCTGAGTTGCCAAACCTTGTTTAAAAAAAGAAAAAAAAAGCATTCTAAAAGAGGATATACATGAACTTGTAGCTACCTAATTTCAAAAACTGAAATTATTTTTATGTGGGGCACAATCAGTACTAGTAGAAAGGAAAATGGAACTGGGGAACAGAAGTATTACCTGGGCAGGATATTCAGACAAGGGGTCCCTATTCCTGGTGAGAGCAAGCAGCCAGCTGCCAGGGTTTCTTAGCCTCTTCTGGTGCTCACTTAGGTGATTGTACAATTCACAGCGCACCAATCTCCACCACAGCCAACAGGGGACGCTGTAGGGAATGGGGACACAGGGGACACAGAAGGGGCAAGTTTAAGGGAAGGAAGAGGAGAGGAGTGAAATATTCAGCTGTGGTGTGCTTACAAAAACACAGTTATATCTCACACCAGATCACTTCCAGGCAGACACCACTGACATCTGAAACAAGTTAACCACCTGGGAATTTCTAGGCCTCTCGACCATCCTGGTTTTTCCATCCTGGTTTTTGTTTTGTTTTGGGATTTTTGTTTGTTTGTTTGAATTTTTCTTTTTTCTTTTTTTCTTTTTTTTTTTTTTTTTTTTTTTTTTTGAGATGGGTTTCTCTTTTTAACAGCCCTGGCTGTCCTGGAACTCATTTGTAGACCAAGCTGGCCTTGAACTCACAGAGAGCTGCCTGCCTCTGCCTCCCAAGTGCTAGAATTAAAAGTGTGTGACACCACAACAGGCTACATCCACTTTTATTTATTGATTGATTGGTTAGTTGGTTTTGTCTTTTTGAGACAGGGTTTCTCGGTTTAGCTTTGGAGCCTGTCCTGGAACTCACACTGTAGACCAGGCTGACCTCTATTATATATAAAAACACTAATAAAATGAGATGGCTATGTCATATAAAGGTTATATAAAAGCTACACAACTTAACATTAAATAAATAAATTTAGACACTCTACAAAACAAGCAGCCTACAAATACAAATTACCACATCACTTTAACTGCCTAAATCAATGAAAACTGTAGTTTTCAGAGAATACTGAAGTATAATGTTACCTGTGAAAAATAATCCAGCCTAGTGTGGTGGCTCACATCCATACTGCCAGTACTCCGGAGGCAGAGACAGGTGAATTGCTGTTTGTGCTCCAGACCAGTATGGGCTACAAACTGAGTCCCAGGCCAGCCTAAGGTATGGTACTGGATGGACCCTGCCTCTAATGTGAAAAAGAAAGAAGAAAGGGAGAGAGGAGGAAAAGGGGGGAAAAGAAGAAATACCTCATAAACCAGAGAGTGTTCCAGTAATAGACTATATCTGTATATACATGTGCATTACAGAAGCTGGAGAAATTCATCAGCAGTTAAAGACTAGCTGCTCTTCCAGAGGACCCAGGTTCGATTCCCACCACCTACATAGTGGTTTCCAAGTATCAGTAACTCCAGGTCCAGGGAATCTGACACCCTCTTCTGACCTCCAGGAGCACTTCAGGTATGTGGTCCACAGACATACACAGAGGCAAAACACTCATAAACATAAAAAGAAATAAAATTTCAGGGCTGCAGGAATGGCTCAGAGATCAAAAGCACTGGCTGCTCTCCCAGAGATCATGAGTTCAATTCCCAGGAACAACACGGTGACTCACAAACCATCTATAATAAGATCTGCAGGCTTGCAAGAAGAATACTGTATATATAGTAAATCTTTTTTTAAAAACTTAAAAATAAATAGAATTTCAAAAAGTTAAAAAAATAAGTGTGTTAGAGAACCAATGTATCATCCAAAAAAATTTAATCTAAATTCTCTGAATGTCAGTCAATTTTTTAAAACTACCAAAAAGATATTGAGAACAAGCAATTTGTATCCTATGGAGGTCTAACTTTTAAATTTAACTAGTTTAACTTTCTGTGTGTGTGTGTGTGTGTGTGTGTGTGTGTGTGTGTGTTGCCTGCATATATGGGCACCACATAATTATCTGGTATCTACAAAGGCCAGACGAGGGCGCCAAATCCCCTCAAACGGGCTTTAAAGCTGGTAGAGACTCACTATAGGTCCTGGGAACCGGAGTGCCCTCCATAAACAGCAGGTGCTCTTAATTACTGAGCCAACTCCTTCCCCTTAGATAAATTCATTTTTCCGGGCTATTAAATGTGTTTCTGGAAACTTTTACATTCCATCTCTACTTCAGAAGCTAAAGAGTCTGTGAGGAACAACACAATCACAGTCACTGGCTTTGAACATCAGGGTGCTCTGCCCACAAAGAGAATGCAAACTACAGACCTAACAACAACAAAAGAAGCTATGTACACACCTATGTAGACACACACACACACACACACACACACACACACACACACACACACACACACGACCAAACAAGTCTGGAAATGAACATCAGTAAAGACTAGCTAGCTTCATTCAAACTGTCCACAGAAAATGTCCTTGTAAAATGAAGCTTTTGCAAAGATGATCCTTCCTAAAGGGATGTGGGCAACCTAGTTTCAGGGAGTAGGAACAAAGTGAAGCGTTTGTGGGGGGGAGGAAAGTGAAGTATTTGGTGGGGGGAGTGAAGTATTTGGTGGGGGGAGTGAAGTATTTCGTGGGGGGGTCACAAGCCAATTGGATGGCCTCAATGAACTTCAACTCACAATTCGTCCTGTAATAATCATCTAAGCACACACTAAAAGAAGATAACCACACAAAAACTGGTTCAGCCACTTTGGAAATCAGTATGGAGATTCCTCAGAAAAATGGGAATAAACCTACCACAAGACCCAGCAACTCCACTCTTAGGCATATATCCAAAAGATGCCCATTCATACAACAAAGATGTCTGTTCCACTATGTTCATAGCAGCATTATTTGTAATAGCCAGAACTTGGAAGCAACCTAGATGTCCCTCACCCGAAGAGTGGATAGAGAAAATGTGGTACATCTACACAATGGAGTACTATTCAGCAGAAAAAAATAATGGAATCATGAGATTCGCAGGCAAATGGATGACATTAGAAGAAACCATCCTGAGTGAGGTAACCCAGTCACAAAAAGAGAAACATGGCATGTACTCCCTCATATATGGATTTTAGACATAGATCTGGGGAGTGCCAGCCTACAATCCTATGGCCAGAGAGTCTGGGAAACAGAAACTTCATTTAGTGGCTGATCGAAGAAGAGGCAGACTCTCTTGGTTAAGTACTGAGCTGAACTCAAGAAAGCCAGTAACAGAGAGGGAGGACTGATGATCAAAGGGATTAAGACTGGGCTGGTTTAACCCCCAGAAACAGCTGACCAGACAAAGGTTAACTCTTGAATCCCAGGCATCAGCCTGGGAATCCAGCATGGGACTGAGCAAGACCCCCTGAATCTGGGTGTCAGTGAGGAGGCCTAGGGAATCTATTAAGCCTTGGGCAGCAGATCAGTACCCATCCCAAGTATACACACGGACTTTGGACTCCCATAGAACAATGTGAGGTGCACTCTCACCCTGAACTCTTGGGGAAGGGTCTAGGCCCTGCCCTATATGAAATGACAGACTATGGACACCCCCATGGAGGGTCTCACCCTCCCTGGGGGAATGAGGGGATAACGGGGGGGGGGGCAGGGCACGGGAGGAGGGGAGGGAATGGGAGAGGGACCTGGAACTGACTTGTGAAGCAACCTTGTTTCTTGTCTAAATTTAAACTGGAAAATAAAAAAAAAAGGAAAAAAAAAAACTCTTCCACTGTTACTATCACACTAAACAGTTGCAGTCTTAAAAAAAAAAAAAGAAAAGAAAAGAAAAAAAGAGGCATGGGGCATCCCCATTTCATAGTGAACATTGATCCAAATTAACATATTCAAAACCAGTCTCTGATCCTGCTACCCTAGCAGTCATCTCCAATGAAGTTAATAGCAAGTCCATCTCGTCACTAGTATCCTTAACTGTTCTCCTCTCTTAATCTGTATCCATATCTTATCAACAGGGCTCTACCTTCAAAGTACATCCAGAAACTGACTCTCAGCAACCTCAAAGCATCTGTCTATCTCGCTAATATTTTCTTAACCTGGATAGTTAACACTTTTCATTGGCTTTTTGTTTCTTCTCTAGCCCTGTTTCTCACATGACAGCCAAGGTGACCCTGGACTGCAAACCTGCCACTGTTTCCAACCTCACTTGACTATAAAAGCCAGTCCTTACCAGTTCCCACTCTGATACTGGATATAAGGAAACTTTGCCCCAATCATCATAGAAATAAAACCTGAAACTAGCTGAAGATGGCTCAGTGGTGAAGAGCACTGGCTGCTCTTCCAGAGGACTTGGCTTCAGTTCCTAGGACCCACAAGAAACAGAAGAAAAATCCTGGTGGGTAACCAACTTTAGAGATGAAGGGTAGAGCCCACATCTTCTAGCTGGCCAATGCTGGCCTCTAACCCACAATGTGGCAAATGATCTGGGACTTCTAGTTTCCTTCTCCACATCACACATCGAGGATTACAGGCATCATGCCTTCCCATTTCAAACATGGAGCTTAGATAGAACGCTGGGCTCTGTGCACACTAGCCATGCTCTCTACATCCGAAGCTGGGGTCCTACATCTTTTGTATTTGTACTTCAACATGATCTGGACTTGTCAGGGCTGTTTGCATTTGCTCCCCCACCTCTTCCAAGTGTCTGGTCAAGTGCAATCCAGCTGAGCATGGCTGCCACCACCGCCCAGCATAATCTCAAATCTTATAAAAGTAAATTTATTTGTCCAAAAAGTAACTCTGTTGTCTCTCAGTTGACTGATCTAAGTAAACCAACTCCCACTAATTTCATACAGCAGCATAGTTTAGAAATAAGCTAAAAGCCTGTTTATTCTTCTTAAACTAGAATATAATCAATTAAAACATCCTTGATCTGTTGTACTGTTCAGCATGTGGTGTATGTAAGTACAGGGACCTGGGATACATATAGGCCCACAAATTATCAAGCTTTATCACAAAAGTGAAACATGCAGGGCAGCGGTCAAGGCTCACGCCTGAAATCACAGCACTTGAAAACTGGAGGCAAGGGCTGATCAGATGGCCCACCCAGTGAGTAGGGATGCAAGCCACCAAACCCAGTGACCTGAGTTCCCATCCCAGAACCCACAGGAAGAGATCTGACTCCCACAAGTGTCCTCTAACTTTCCACATGTGCACCACAGCATGCATGCACCCACACCCACTCCCACCACACACACACCACCACACACTCACACACACATACACACACCACACTCACACACACACCACACACACTCACACACACACACACACCACACACTCACACACACACACATACACAC